TCCTGCAGCCCACTCTTCTAATCTCTGATGTAATCAATGGAAACTGACACTCAAATTTTCAGCATCTAACAAACCTGCGTATGTCCAGAAAAAAAACTTTCTTTTTTATTTTTAGATGGCTTGGGGATGGATTAAAATCCCTGCTGTTTTTTTTTTTTTTTTTTAACTTCTATCTAGGCCTACGCTACTCCACTCAAAGAAGTATTTTCATTTTTGGATGTGGGTGGAGATTTTCCCTCACTTCCTGTCTAGTCTGACCACTGTCACCAGGAAGTAATATCAGATTTTTGTGCCATTGCTACAGTAGACAAGGCAGCTATAATCCTTAAAGGGACCCTGTCACTCATAGGTCAGGCTGAATTTTGTTTTTATTTCACTTCCCTGCCGTATTGGAATTAGACATATTTTCAAGCAACTCCGACACTTCTGGGATTGTTGGGGGCTTCTCGTAAAAGTTTTCAGCCGCTACCCTTCCACTGCTCTGATGTCAGCCAAGGTCCTGGCAGCACCTTGCAAAGCCTCACATGATCTGCATTGGCAGTCTTACAAGGAAGACCTTAGACATTTCTAGATGAAGGGTTTATAATTTGGTCGATCGTATTATTAATTTCCACAGCTATATCATGCATATGGTAACCTCTATTCTGATCTTCTCCTGAATTCTGAAGATTGTTGGCTGACGAGACAGCATAGTGACTTAGGATGGGGCAATTACTGTCTGCACATTGACATTTGTATACCAGTCATTCTCAACCAGGGTTCATCTAGAACAGGGGTATTCAAACCTTCTAAACAAAGGGTCAATTCACTTTCCTTCAGTCTATAGGGGCGCTGGACTGTGGCCAGTGGGTGTAGAAAATGTCTCAGGTTTGGTAGTCATTGGAAGTATAAACAAATTATATAGCGTCTGTGGTCAGTAAAAGGAAGAATAGTGCATCATCAATTGTATTAATGGAAGGAATAATACCCCATCAGTGGTGTCAGTGGGGGAAGCAGTGCCCATATCACTGGTGTCAGTGGAAGGAATAGCACCCCATCATTGAAGTCAGTGGAAAGAATAAGGTTGCATACCAGTTGGAGGAATAGTACTCCATATCACTGGGTGGGACCGTGCTCCAATGGACAGATAAGGGCAAGCAAAGAGCCACACTTCGCCTGCGACCACAGTTTAGGGACCACTGCTCTAGAGGTTGCTTGGGGTTCCTGGAGCCATGACTGATTTACCTCTTATTTAATGGCACCTACACAGTTCAAGGGCCAACACCACTCTACAGAGCCAACAGCATAACATCAGTGATCTTTATAGCTCTCTGTAAGGTGGCATTCTTACCACTGACCACCAGTGTCGGTGGCATTTGATCCACCGAGCCTGGTTGAATTGGGTTAAGGAGAGGTTCCTCAAGGCCTGAAAATTTTTTTCTATTGTTGGAATTTCTTTTTTGGGGGGGATATGGTTGAGAATCGGCGATCTCTGATTGCATAAGGGCACATTCAGTGTACATTGGGTAACATCTGAATGGGCTGACATTGCCAGAGGTGACCGGTAAAATGTCAGGGGTGCACATTATCTGTCATGGTAAACAATAACAAACTATGTGAATTCAGATACTGAAAGGGATGACTGTGGCAGTATTTCTGCACACTGACATATGGTGTTACGTTGACGATGTACAGTATATGGGTCTGCTGACAATGCATAGAGTGTCACTGACTACCTGTGGGCACCGTGACCCTGTGTAGGACAAGAGTGTTTTTCAAACTTACAATAACACCCTATGGGAAATGATGGCTCCATTTAGGTGCACTGATGGTCAAATGGTATGTAGATTTAACATGCTTTTCATTCAAGGTCCCTGCTGGATTGATAAATGAATAAAATGCAAGGCTAGATCATCATCACTATGTATGATTTGTATAACTAATGAGGTCTTAGGAGGTTAAATCACTCAGTTACTGCTCAGTTTGTTCAAGGGATTACATGAAATTTAAGTCATTCAGCACTCTCCTCTGGGTTGAAGCTTAGCAACAAACACACAAGAAATTAGCCAGCTTTACCAAACAGGAGGAAGTGGAGAACATAGGTTATACAAGGGACATTGTCGGGGAGAGCACAAGGATACGTTTATATGGCTCGTTAGTTTACTGTCAGATCTAACAAGCTATTCTCCAGATACAAAACAAGAACTAGTAGAAAACGCATTTTGGATTATTATAAAAACATATGTGGAGAAGTCCAGTTTTCATAGCAGGATATAGTATTTGTTATCTTAAGTTCTTTTTTAATAGTTTTCTTTTCTGTAAAGAACTCCGCTAAGCAGATTTGCAGGGAAGTGAATGTGCAGTAAAAGTATGCGAAGATGAGCAAACTGCAGCAGGCAACATGGATCCTTCATAGGAATCAAAGGCGATTGATTAAAGAAGAATTCCAGGTATGGCATTTTTTACATAGTCACATTTCTCCAGCTTGGACCAGTGTTGTAACGATACATATACCATATCTGCAGAATCCCTCTAGAAACTTCAATAGCTTCCGGCTCCTGTGCTGAGGGGCTGCTCTTCTGCATTCTGAACACTGGAGGTCGGCTGCTCAGCACGGGTGTGCCATACAGAGAATGCTTTCCATTTTCTCAGTGAATACAAAGCATTCTCTGATTGTATGAGTTAAAGAGAGAGGCATCCCCACTCCACCTCTCCACCTCGTCCAATCAGAGAATGCTTTGCATTCACTGAGAAAATGCAAAGTATTCTCTGAAAGGTGACCAACCTCCAGTGTTCGAATGCTGCTCAACATGGGACCCAGAAGCAAGTGGAGATCACTGTAGTAGCGGTGTCTTCTACAGTGATTTCCATCGTTATAGAGGAATCCTACAGGTATGGTATATGTACTGTATAGTTACATTGCTTCAAATTGGTCCAATGTAACTATGTGGAAAAAAAAAAAGCCATACCTGGAATTTTTCTTTAAAGCTCAGCTCTGGGGAACTACGAGTCCTCCCTTGCAGTGGGGCTGCATGAGTACTTCAAGGGTTAACTGCTCAGTTATGTGTAGGACTGGGTACAGCAGTTTTACTTACCTGATCCTCTGTTCCCCAGGATCCTCCACACTGCTAGACTGATCAGCCTCTTCTTCCCTGCATTCCGGTGGTCCAGCATTTTCTGACGTCATCAAGACCAATGTAGGGGCCATAGACCTGCATTGGACATGAGGACACTGAGGGACAGGCCCCCATTGTATTGGGGAGCACCATCTACCAGGGTAATGGAAGATTAGTAAATTTTCCCAAGACAGAAGTAAGCAGTTAAAGTGGTATTAAACCCACAAAGATGTAATATACTGCAGCTTACCAATCATTAGATGTGGTGGCCGCATTTTGTTTTCAGCCTCCCTCTGGATGAAGGAGCACTGGGGAGGATGCTGCACCGAGGAGGTTTTTTTTTACCTGCATGCATACTACCTTGAGTCTTTACAAACAATTTAAATACACTAACAAACTTAGGCCAAACTTCAGATAATACTTTATAAGCAATTGTATCTCTAAGTGATACATCTGCAGGACAGCTTGTTCTTTTGAAAAGCAACCGACTTACTGACCGGATTATTGAATAAAAATAGAAAAAAGCCTAAAAAAGAAAATGTAATGCGTCCATCGCATCTAAAAATTGTCAATCTAAAAAAGTGTCCAGCAAAGCACTGGTTAAAGCTTGTGGGAGGAGTTTTCATTCTCCCCTGATTAACCTATGAGGCTGCATAACCCCTGAACCTCTGTCTGGATAGCGCTGATTGGCCATGTGCTGATCAAAAAAAAACACATTTCTAGTAATACACACAAAACTGAGCAAGTGTAGCTTGCCACCAAGGCTCTGTTCTATCAGCAGATGGATTGGGGACTGTAGAAGAAGGGGAGGATCAAAGAAGACAGGATCAAACATCCCTTTTACACAATGCAGAGGATTAACCCCTTAGGTTCCATAATGAGTATAACAAGCATGCTTTACTGCATAAACAGACTGATTTTACTGTTGTGGGTTTAATAACACTTTAATACTGCCTAACATTTGCAGAGCAAGCACAGCCTCACTACAAAGAAGGACTTTTAGTTTCCCAGGGTTGGGCTTTAAATAAGATTGTTTTCCAACTGCTGATGGTGAATACTTGGAGCAGATTAGACCAAGCATCGTGTACCATTCGTTAAGTTCTTCATTCAGCTAATGTTTCTGATACTTTAATGTGAAATCCAGATGTGAAGTGGCTCGATCGGGCAAGTGCTCAAGCAATAAATTCACTTTTATAAAATGGAGAACAATTTGATCAACAAATGATTGCTGCCCAAATGTTTCCTGCTTAATAAATATACTGTCATGTTGTCATTCAGTATGGTACAGTAAGCACATACTGAATGACAACTGTAATGGTACTGTAAGCACAGTCCCAAAATGGTTTAATGTGTCTTGTCCTTGACTGCATTTTAACTGATGAGGGCAAGCTCTATTTATTGATAGCAGAGCATTTGTTTTGCAAGCAAAGGTAAGAGTGTTGAATGACTTAAGAAGCTCCTTCTTATAAAACATTCAGTTTTTTTTTTGTTAAAAAGAACATTTTCTTAAAAGGGACGTTTTTGGGATTTAGACAAAACTCACCTAGGTTGATACAGCGGCGCGCTGAGGTGCTGCAGCAGCTACTGGTCCAGGTACCTGGGCGGATCCCAACATTAAAGTCGGGATCTCTCCAGAGCCTGGACCAGCTGAGTGACATCAGCCGACAGTGGACTTTAGCCTGCTGTCCCCTGAATACGGGTCACAGGGGTGCAGATAGAAGTCCATAGGAGAAGTAGGGCCAAAAGAGATTTGATCCTACTTCTCTTTTAATAGTGCTTTTCCCTCACAGCTGATCACATGTAAACACGGAAATGCCGGTTATTGTCATTTCTCTCCTCTCGAGCTGTCACGCTGACAGCTCGAGAGGAGAGGAGAGCCGGTAATCTGCTTTCCGCAGAGGGGACATGTACACTGATCATCAGGGCACTGATCAGTGTGCCCTGATGATCAGTGTTGCCCCAGAAGTGCCACTTGTCAGTGCCCGTCAGTGCCATGGACCAGTGCCCATCAGTGCCACATATCAGTGCATACCAGTGCACATCAATGCCACGTATGGGTGCCCATATGAGCTGCCTTTCAATGTCATCCATCAGTGTGCGCGTCAGTGCTGCCTAACAGTGCCAGTCAGTGCCGCCTATCCATGCCCTATATCAGTGTCATGTATCAGTGCTGCCATTCAGTGCCCATCAGTGATGCCTGTCAATGCCCCATCAGTGCAACCTGCCACTGCCTCCTCATCAGTGCCACCTATCAGTGTCCATCAGTGCAGCCTATCAGTGCCCATCACTGCAGCCTCATTAGCGCACATCAGTGAAGGAGAAAAATCACTTATTTACAAAACTGTGTAACAAAAACTAAGAAACTTTTTTTTTTTTTCAAAATTTTCAGTGGTTTTTGGTTTGTTTAAGAACAAATTAAAATCCCAGAGGTGATTAAATACCACCAAAAGAAAGCTCTATCTGTCTCAAAAAAATTATAAAAATTTCATATGGGTACAGTGTTGCATGACCACACAATTGTCATTCAAAGTGTGACAGCGCTGAAAGCTGGAAATTGGCCTGGGCAGGAAGGGGGTTAAAGTGCCCTGTAGGCAAGTGGTTAAACACCAACACTTTCCCATTAAGCTAGTCATTTGCTCCTTCATACCAGAAGGGTAACTGAGTATTAAATGCTAATCAAGATCACACACAAAAAAATGTGTACGTTGTTTTGGATGTCTTAGGGCAATGTACATGAAGGATTCCATTAGGAGGTCTGGCAGGTCCCCATGGAAGATGTGATTCTGTCAGTGGACATGTTCTCTTTTATGAAGGAATCCCTTCTTGTAGAATTCTTTGACTGTCGCTTTTGATTTGTGTCATGAGATTGTCGCTACATGTTTTCCATTACTGCTATGATTTTATATGCGTCTATAAGAAAAGTCGTGTGACCACTTCAGATTCAACAAAGGAAAGCCAACTGTATGTTAAAAGATAATGCATACTTCTTTATGGTTGGCAAACCCTACCCAAGCCTGATGTTTCAGTTTGGTGTGGGTGGTTGCTGGCAAAGTGAATCACATGATGACTTGTATGTCTCATGGAGGGATGAGCTCAGAATGTTAAGGCTTCTATAAAATGGGAAATGGGGAAGACAGATGAACATTGGTGGTCCAGTGAAAGCGATTGCAACAAATTTGTCACTGTAAATCTAAAGTGGGGCACACACCATGAGAAAATCCAATAAAGTTGCGTTCAATTTTCGTATAGTGTGTACAAAACTTTCGAAATGCGATTTCGGACTTTCCAAACAGAAATTTCCGAAGGGACAAACTCCAAAATTTTTTTTTCATACATGAGCACAATGTCTCTAATTTTTAATTTTTTTTTTTTTTTTTTGCTAAATGTGTACAGTAATTGTATGGCAATAATACAATAGCAAAAAACGCATATGATCAGAAGCAAAAAATGACCCGGAATCATATGCTTTGTGTAGAAATCATACACAGGAAAGTGCGTTTGCCTTAGTCTGAGAATTTTTGCACAAGTTAATACCATTGTTGGTTCTATCATAATACGAACCTTTGTGGAAATCAGAAGACCAGTAATCCGATTTTTTGTTTCTCATAGTATATACCCAGCTTTAGGGTCTTGACCAGTGCCTATCCGGTGATAGTTATTATCACAGTGATAATGTGACTGCGTGAACTCTCTTAGGCTAGCTACTTCCAGAAAGTGCGGCTGTTCAGTTAATACATGGCTCAATGATCCAGCAATGACTCAATGTACACAATGTATAATGATAAAGGAATGTGACGGCACCCATGGCAGCGAATGAGACCAAGCTTGATTTGAGGCAGTACGTAGGCGCCACTTGCTGCATTTTTTGGGTGTATAGCTGCTCTTAACTGCTTTTACTTCCATTCCCAGTGATCTTCAGGCATTTAGATAGTGCTTCATCATTATTATTTTTTTACTTTACCATTTCTGGGCATTTTGCTTGGATTTGGGATATCTACTGATCGCTGTTGGTTATCACATCAAATGTTTCCCTGTAATACTAAGAGTTGTGTCACCGTTGCCTGTGCGGTGACCCTCACATAGTGATAATTTGACGGTGTGAACTTGCACAAGGTGTGGCTCTTCAGTTAATGCATGGCTCAGCATTCCAACAACCCACTCACTGCACAATTTACGATGGTAAACGATTGCCAAACACCAAGAAGACTTTATAGTTATTAGGCTGGCGGTTGAAAAAGCTGTTGTTAGGTAACCAGTCTTACTCAGACATCCAGGCCTCTGGGTGCCTTGACTGAAAATTATTGGAATCATAGCAGTGTATACTTTGGTGTTAACCAAGTGAAGTGGTATAAATGTTTGCAGTGCTGATATTTAGAATCTATTAATTCTAGTCCCTACATGTCATGGTAGCACCACCTGCACCCCCTACCATCTGACACTATAGCCCTAGCACTATGGGATTCCAACACTGATCAGGTCAGATTGTAAACTTTAAAGACCGCATCTGATTGGAATGAATCTATGTACTCTGCAAAGCTCTGTATAATACAAAGGATTTTTGAGAGCCCCTGAAGGGACCTTGCTGAGAGTTCAGCCAGACAGCCTGTTTCTCCACTTCCTTGTCTCCAGAAATATTAAATCCTCTGTCTTCTATCCTCAAGGTTACTTTGTAATATCCGCCTCTATTGAGATATGTTTGGTAATGAAAATGTATACTGCAGATGTAACAGAGCAATTATTTATACACAAATTATTAGACATTTTAAATAATACAGCATAGTTATTTATTCTTGTAAGAAAGAGCTGTTTTATTCTAGGTATATAAGGAAGGACACTACTGATGTATAATTCCTTAGCAGTTGACAAACCATTAATAAAAATACAAAAAGGGGCACAAAGGGTGACTGCGTTACCAGATATTACTTTATTGGAAATAGGAACGGTAATGAGTGCATACTCACAATAGCCATAGGCTAATACAGCATTTTAGACCAGATCCCAGTGGTTAAGTATCAACACAACCCTGGTGTCACCGAGACTCGCCACCTAATGCATTTTCATGGACAAACCCTCTTCATCAGAACAAAGCCCCGGGGCTTTGCACTGATGAAGAGGGCTCATCCCTGTCAAATGGGTGCTGGTTATTGTGAGTATACATTCATTACTATTCCTTTTCCAATAAAGTCATATCTGATAATACTGAAATCTTGGAGCAAGGTACACAGGACCACTGATGAAACTACTACCGCAGCAGCCAACGCAGCTGCTATGGGGCCCTGAACTAGGGAGAGGCCTGGTGAGAGGCGGAAGGACGATCCCCTATCCTTGCCTGCCCATTTTGCCAATAAGCAGTTGAATTGGGCTGTCCGGCCACATAGTCACCTTTGTTAGCGTAGGACCCGCTGTGACAGTTTATCCACTTGGCACTATCGCTTGTAAACACAGAAGTTGGCAGTCTTACACTGCTTGTTTCATCTGCAGCTCTAACTAATGAGATGTGGTAGAGAATGGAAGTAGCGACAGACTTCCTATGCCCTGCTTGTGTGTCCATGGGTGAGCTGTCGCAGTGGATCCCCTGCTGATGGAGATTTCTATGAGGATGAGCCTAAGCACTGGCAATACTAAGCCAAATTTTTTACTCTGCTGTATGTTTTCTATTGTGTACCTCCTCATTCCTTGCTACCATGACATGCTCTACATTCCCTATTCTGCACCACCTCATTCTGTATTCCAGGATACCTTATTCCATATGAAATGCTGTACATTCCCTATTCTGCACCACCTCATTCTGTATGCCATATTCTGTATTCCAGGATACCTTATTCCATATGAAATGCTGTACATTCCCTATTCTGCACCACCTCATTCTGTATGCCATATTCTGTATTCCAGGATACCTTATTCCATATGAAATGCTGTACATTCCCATTCTGCACCACCTCATTCTGTATGGCATATTCTCTATTCTAGGACACCTTATTCCATATGCAATGCTGTACATTCCCTATTCTGCACCTCCTCATCCCTTATGCCATGTTGCACATTCTCTGATTGCATTGTTTTATTCCATATGCAATACTTTATGGGCCCTAATTTGAACCCCTTCAATCCATATACCATGCTGTACATTCTTTTTCCACACTGCTTCATTCCATTTGCCATACTGTACACTGCTTATTCTCATATAAGAAGTAAAAGTCCAGGCCCAAAGTCTGGGGCTGAAACTCGTCAATCTTTTCTCATAATGGGTACTTTTTATGCCTGGATGGGTAAAGAATAAAGTCATGTCAGTACCGGACTTTTACTTTTTATATGTGAATCTACGGTATGTACAGTGTATGTCTTTGCATAGACGACTGATCCTGCAGATACCAAAGGTTGGTAGCATCAAACACTTTTCCTTTTCTGACTACCTATTCTGTACTGCCCTATTCCATTTACCATGATGTACATTTCCTATTCTGCAACATTTCCTTCCGTATTCCATGCTGTACATTCACTTTTCTGCTCTACATCATTTCATATGTCATGCTCTACATTCCCTTTTCCATAAAGCCTCATACCATAGGCCATGCTATACTTTCCTTACTGCATTGCTGCACTCACTTCTGAATGAGTATGACATGCTGTATGTTTCCAATTCAGCATCAGCTCAATATATAGGTCCTGTTGTACATTTTAGATTTTCACACTGGCCCATTCTGTACACTGCGTTCTTCATTTTATACTCCCATGTGGATACCATTCGGTGTGCTGTGCTGTACACTTTATTTTCCACACCACTCATTTCTGCACACTGTGCCATACTCACCCACCCCTCCATAGACTTGTACTTGCCTCAGTGTCCTTTTCACTCCTTTATAACCTGCCATGGTGAATAAAGTCTTGTACCATGGTGATTCTTCTGTTGTGGGGGAAGGTGGTGCTGCACAGGACTAGAAGTTCAATGGGTGAGGTTGCAGTATATATGGAATTTATGGACGTATTTGTATTGAACATGTGTTGTAGTGTCAAGCTTCCCTAGTTATGAGGGAGTACAGTCATGTGAATCATTATACAGCTGCCCTTTGTATTGTCATTGAACTTCTCTAACTTTGTGACAGTTCTGGTTTTGAAAGGGTGCACTTTCAGCAGGATCAAGGGCAGAACTTTAGTCATAGCAGCTCATGCAGCTGTTTCAGGCTCTGTACATGTAGAAGTAAATGATTCAAAGCCGTCTACTGTGGCTGCATGATTCATGTATCCCTGCAGAAATATTGTTTAGGGACTATACAGGCTAATGTGAATGTGTGCAGTATATTTTGCTGAAATCTAA